AAGCTACAAGTTGATGGTGAAATAAGAAGTCACTATAGAGGAGATGCTCACCCAGGAATTCAAGGTGGCTGTAATTCTCCAGCATCACATCCCTGTACAGATTCCACTGAGCAGGGTCCAGACACTCCCTCTCTTCTGGAGAGAACTCGATGGCCACATCTGAGAAGGACAGCATTTCCTGAAATAAAGATCAGCAAATGATACCACACATTAATTTAATTAAAACCATAAATAATTTAAATGACAAGAGGCATTGGGCTGAATAGAACTTGAAACTAGCTAGGACCAATTTGCAAAGAGAGAAATAATTGAAAAAATTCCTACCAAGACTGCCCTGTAGCCAAGTCTAGGGGCATTTTCTGAACTAGGGATTCCTGAGACAGCCCTGCAGACTGTGGTGGTGCCTGCACTGGGCACGCAGTTCTACACGGCACAGGAAAGCCGTCTCGGGGAGTCAGTCAGCGGTGTTCTTCTGTGGCCTGTTCTCCACCTCACGCCTCAGGTTCCTGCCTTGAATTCTCCCAGTGATGGACTGTCACCTGGAATTGGAGTCTAAATAACCCTTTCTTCTCCAAGCTGTCTCTCATCACGGGCTTTAGCACAATAGGAACCCTCAGACAGGCAGCACGGATTTGTCCAGGATGAAAGAGAGCTAGAAATGTTCTTACACAGGTAGTAATATCCTCAGACATGCCTGACGTGGTCACATGAGCTCACGCTGAACATCGGTAGTGAAGACAAGGTAAAGGAGCCGGTAAACCCAGGTAGACACAATGCATTTCAGAAAGACATGTAAAATGAATGCAGCCACAGAAAATGCATTCAGTGCCATGTGCCACTACACACCACACACGTATGCATTCCTCACAGGAGAAAGTCACGGTGAGGGAGAAGGGATTTCTCAACAGCTCATGCGCACAATCATGACAGTGACATGGAATGAAAATACAGAGTCTGCTGCAGCAGCTCTGGCTGTGCTGTGGGCTCAGGATTTCTGCAGAGTTCAGTAATGATGCAGATGACAGGGACACGGGACATGAGAAGAGCAGGCCAGGGGAAGCACTCACAGAGTAAATATCATTTAAGTATCCGGTCATATGGGAAAACAGGCAAGAATAGGACTGACAACACTATTTGAGAATTTAAAACAGAGCAGACATCTCTGGATCTTAACGTCATTTTCCCTTTCTACCTTTTCTCTGCTACTGATGAAGAGGGTTGCGGTATTCCTAAAGCATTTCCTAACACAAAGCATTATAAGGCACAGAAGTTGGAAATGTAATTTTTTTTTCCCCATTTACCTGTGATATCAGGAAGCAAATACTGGACTTCCTTTTTGTGGTCCATTGGCTTACCTATGTAAAGAGGTTTTCTATCTGCTTGTTTTGCACATACAACACTTGTGCATAAGTGTGCTGTAGCTGAAAAATATAATTTCTAATGGTATTTTCACATTTCGAATCTTTTTACTTTTAGAGTTTATGCTTTTTGTGTATTTTGAGTAACATACCAGAATGAGCTATGAAAATAGCCACACATCATTTTCCCCTTTTATCAATACAAGAAATATCAACAATTTATGTCATTCTAATAATTTCATGGTTAAGCTTTGGATTCTCAGTTATGGTATGTTCACCCCTCAAACACTTCCTTCCAGGCTTCTGGAATGTACCCTACATAAGGGACATCCAGCATTTGGGAAACTGTCATGGGGCTTCTCCCTCCCACCACGCTGTCCCAGAACACTCAGTCTTCAGGAAGCGCAGTTAACATTTTTATTTGGGTTGTCAACAGCTCCCAAATAATGACACAGAGACTTCTCTTTAATCATGGAAGCTTGTCCCACTACCTCTTCTAACTTAATTCAATCTGTTCCTAGTCATCTGCATTTCCCCTTGGGGCTTTACCTGTATTTCACTCTGTACGTCCTGCTTTCCTGCCTCCTCTGTGTCTGCCTCCACGAGTCCTCCTCTTCCTTACTCTTTCTGCATGGAAGTCCCGCTTATCCCTCCCACCCAGGTGTTGGTCATTTAGCTATGAGATGAATCAGGCGCCTTACCCGCAGACAAGGTAAACAGATGCAGCACATCTTTCCACAGTGAAACCAATATTCCACAAGCAAACGGAAACCTCTTTCCATATGTAAGATGATAACCCACAAAAGGACATCCAGTATTTGCTTCCTGATATCACTGGGAAATGGAAAAAAACCATTACATTTCCCAACTTCTGTGCCTTATAATGCTTTGTGTTTGACAAATCTCTATTGTATGAGTTTCAATTAATTACGTTTAACATATTGATGAGATCATGTGCCATTTACCTCTATCTTCCTGACATAACTACCAGTTTCACCAATATTGTCACAATTGGCAAGAGTGTAATTTTTCTGTGAAAACTTATTAAATTGAAATTTGTCATTTTCCCCTCTATCTCCTCACTGCAGTTTCTCTCATGTACCCCAACAATCTAACTCAGATACATTGTTCATTCTTCTCTAATTAACATTGTTACACACAGCACATACCTGTACATATCTACACTGTACATACCTACTATATAAAGGGTCTAGTCTTGTGTTTGACCCCTGTTCAGATCTTTTGCAAGGTCTCTCTGTGGTCTCTGGCACAATCAGGTAGATGGATCGGCAGGAACTGAATGTCCTCACCCAGCACCTCTGCTCCAGAGTTTCCCAGAGATGACGTGTCTAACCCAGCACGGTCCATGCATGAGCTGTAAACACAAGTAACTCCTTCCCTCACGCTGACATTGAAATACAGTGAAAAAAGCCTGGGAGAAAAGACACAGGACTGTCAGCAAGGAGAATGGGACTCAAGCTGGAAGAGCAGGAATTCAACACTACCAGTTTCCATTATGGGTTAGGTATGGCATTACCCATGGGGAGGACAGCGCAGGAAGTGGTTTTGTTCTGGCTCACTGTAAGAAGCCTCTGCTCCCAGTGGAACCTCTGCTGTAAGGACAGGGAAGACATCCCAGATGCAGCTGCAAAGACCCAGGAATGAAATCACAGCAGCCGCATCAGTCAAGAAGTGCAGAATGGAAATGAAGAAATAATGGAGTCTCAGATTAGATAGGAAAGGAACAAACTGGAAGAAACCAGAAAAAAAAAAGAAGAAGAAAGCCGCATCAGGCCATGAGAGTAACACAGATTAATATGCAAGAATGAACAATCGCTGCATATTAGGAGAACAATTCAAACAAGGCAAAGAGAACTCTTCCCTCAGAGTAAATGCAGGCACCAAAATTAAAATCTTCAACAAGAACTTGTTAGGGATAAAATTTAAATTGCATATGGAGTCAGTCAGCAGAAATTAAGCACACATAAATCTATGAAGTGTCGACTGCATAGATTTGTCAAGGTGTTCACTGTAAGGAACGGGAAAAACACCATAGAAACGATTTATCACATTAATCTTGAAATGCTCCCCGTCACAGACTTGAGTAAAATAGGATGGCCTTGAGTTTGCTATGAGGCAGGGGAGGACCGGAGAGCCCTGCCTCCCCCTCACAAACGCAGAGATGACAGGGGTGTGCCTCAGAGGAGACTGACATTTCTTTTCTATCACAGGTCTGGTTACTAAAATCCCAGGAATACACACAGGTCTGGGAGTTCTCCTCACCTGCGGACCTGACACAAAAGTCTGGCACTGTAACACAAGGCCATGAGAGCTGTTCACCTGTTCCTAGGGACCCTGCTTCTGGACCAGCTCAACAAGCTCAAGGCCACATCAAGACATTGACACAACCATTGTGGGCCAAGCAGACATCCTGTCGTTTTTACAGTTAGTCCGCCCTACATTAGGGACAGAGGAACTTTCAAAGCTTTAAGAAAACAAGATGAGGCCTGGAGTCAGCATCTCCATTTCCTTCTTCCTGCAGAGGGCACTCTGTGTGTGGGCTGTATGTGTGTTCTCTCCACCCTAGTCAAAGCTTTCTATAGCAGAAGAAGACCTGTCTGTTTTTTTCCAGAATTTCCCATACGTGACCTGTGATTTTTCCTTTCTTAATTCTTTAACTGTCAAAGAAAATCAACTCAATCAAGATGTCAAGACCGTTACACTAGGCCGGCTAACAAAGTAAAAGACCGACCAGAAACCCAGTTTGCTTTAAAGATACTGAGAAATCCGACATCATCCACATGAGAATGGGTCAGCTAGTGAGGTCGGCTTCCCCACCAAAGCTGCTCAGGGGCTCCCAGCTCCCCCTCAGGAGCAGGTAGTCAGCTGACCATCCTTAGCTTGCAACCCTGGACCCAGCACTGTCATCTACTCCGCGCTCCCGGGCTGCTCTCCTGTCCCAGAAGCCCAAGGCGGACTCGGGCTGCACGCAGCGTCCTAAAGAAACCATCACTCAGGGCACAGTCCCTGTCGCCCTCATCCCAGTCATTTGAGCACAGCACCGACAAGGCTGCTTCTCCCTGAGCTTCTTCAGCCAGCCCGGGTCCGCTCCCTCCAAGACGGCCCCGCTGCCCTGCACCCTGGACCAACCTCCATGTCAGAGACGCAACGGGAATACACAGCAGGCGGGACTCTCGCACAACTTTGGGGCACGCGTACAAGTAGAGACCTAGAGTGTGGGGTTTCCTGGAAGGCAGTCTGTGATGTCGCAGTTGCGGGGACTACATTTCCCAGAAATCTGCACGAAAGATAAATGACCCATAGGAAGAATGAAATTATAAACAAAAGATTACGTTGGGTAGTAGTGGGAGGGGGGGGATGAGGAAGCAGAAATTAAAAATACAGCATGTGGGGAGGGGCTCATTAAGGAATCTGGAGAAATTTTCGTAAGGCAAAATCGCAATCACATCACAGGCTATTGTAAGACAAACTGCAGACATCATGGGTCATAAACTCACAACAGGTTGAAACACTTTTAGCAAGGTACATTAGGCTTAGGAAACAGAACCTTGTTCTTGTAAGGTAAGGAGACTTACTAACAATGTCTAAAAGTGTGATCTGACCAACAGTGTATAAAATGTGGTTTCCTAGCAACAATGTGACTACTGTTGGGTTCCAGATCAGCTGTGGAGAGTCGGTCTGGTGCTCACCTCCAGATCTACAGCAAGACATGTATAAACGTGAGTCAAGACTTTGACAGAAATATTGGGCTCACAGGTCACTTCTGGTCCATATGTTCTGATTTCAGTCTTACCATGACATTAAAAATCACGTTGAGCTGTGTGGTGGCGGCGTATGCCTTTAATCCCAGCACTTGGGAGGCAGAGGCAGGAGGGTGTCTGTGAGTTCGAGGACAGCCTCATCTACAACAGCTAGTTCCAGGACAGGCTCCAAAGCTACAGAGAAACCCTGTCTCAAAAACTATCCACTACCCACCGCACCCCCCCCCCAAAAAAAGAAAGAAAGAAATCACATTGAATTTTGTAGAAGCCCCTTTTCAGCATCTAATGGGATGATCATGTGGGATTTTTCTTTCAGTTTATTTATATTGTAGATTACATTGACAAATTCTCCTATGTTGAACCATCCCTGCATCTCTGGGATAAAGCCTGTTTGATCACGCTGGATGATTTTTTTGTGTCTGTTCTTGGATTCTGTTTGCCAGTGGTTAATTCAGTATTTCTGCATCAGTGTTCATGAGGGAAATTGGACTGTAATTCTCTTTGTTAGTAGAGTTTTTTTCGTGGCTCAGGTATTAGGGTAACTGTATACCCATAAAAAGAATTTGGCAATGTTCCTTCTGATTCTATTATTTGGAACAATATGTGTGATATACATATTAGCTTTTCTTTAAAATTCTCATAGAATTCTGTGGTTAAACTATCTGGCTCTGGGCTTTTTTTTTAATAATTGGAAAACTTTTGATGAAAGTTTTGCTTTCCTTAGGGGTTACAGGTCTATTTAAATTGTTTATCTGGTATTGATTTAATTTTGGCATGTTGTACCTGTTTGGCTGGGGACTTCAGCTTAGCCCCCTGGCATCCATTTTGAAATGTTAGGTGGAAAGTTCCTTTTTAAAGCTCTCTCCTCTGGGAGTTGCCTCAGTCCAAACTCCACCACTGAGAAAGACCAACAGTGATCTCTCCCCAGGAAGAGACAAGACCACTCCCACAGGCTATTTAAACTGCCCCTCAGAGAATGAACACGTGTCATTCCCTCCCCAGTGGTCATTTTGGTTCTCTTTCCCTCTCTGTGTTTTCTCAGGGGTCACCAGGAGTGCCAGCAGCCATCAAAACTGGGTTTCTTTTAATTTGGTTTGATTTGGTCTGATTGGCTTATTGCATCCGCAACGAGGCTTGTCAGTCAGTCAAAGAAAAGACTTAACAGCACACACACACACACACACACACATATATTAACATTATGCACGAGGGTGTCACTTGACCTATATTCTTATAAGGTCATGTCATTGTCTGATTTGTTTAAAGACAAATTATTTCCTTAGTCATATATAAGAGACTAGTATATCAAAAATGGTCATATGACAATCATTCCTCTTCAATTTGTAATATAACTTATTAGTTTTGGGGGAAGTCCATGTGTTTGTTAACTTGTTCTGACTTCCAGGTTCTCAGAGTGGCACTCGAGGACTCTCTCAGTTGTCCTGGTCACTGTTCTCTTTTTCTGTACTTCTGTCCTGCTGTCTCCATGGCCGTCTGCATGCTGCTCAGCTTCTGACCGCTGCACGCCCCCCTTTCTTCCTTATCCTCTTCTCTAGCCTAGACTTCTCCTCCTATTTATTCTCTGTGCTTGTCAGCCCTGCCCATTGCTCTCCCGCCTAGCTATCGGCCATTCAGCTTTTATAAAACCAATCAGGTGCCTCAAACAGGCAGCAGAAACAAATGTTTACCAAACAAATGCATTGTAAACAAAGGCAGCAGCCGCAAATGTAACACTTTATTTGTTTTACGCAGTTCAAATAATCTTGCACAGCATAAACAAATGTAAGACACCTTTGCCTAGTTAAAACAATATTCAACAACACTGTACTTTTCAGGTATTGTTAATTTTCACATTTGAATGTTTTGCCTTCAAAATAATAGGGTTTTAAATTAAAGAGAGACAAATAAGAAATTTGAGATTATGAACCTCTGCTATACTATTTACTCCTGAGCGTGTCTGTCTCTGGTATACTATCTACTCCTGAGCGTGTGAGCCTTTGCTACACTATCTACTCCTGAGAGTGTGAGCATTTGCTGTATTATTTATTCCTGAGCTTGTGAGTCTCTGCTATACTATCTACTCCTGAGAGTGTGTCTCTGTTATACTTCACACTTAAGTTGACTACTTGAGAAGCTTCCACTTAGACCACAGCTCTGAAATATCCATTCTCTTTTAGAACAAATGTATATCCATTAAGGCCATTTCCATTCATAAGGAAACCTCCCTCTGTGTTGTGAGGAAATCGATACGTAGGTCTGCAGAGACTCCAAGCAGGAAGAAAACACTGTTTCACACACACCCTGAGCAAACCTGATGTTTTTATAGGGGCATTGCTGACCACATCTTAGACATTTTTGTAAAAACTGAACCTTTTCACATAGCAGCCTTTCTCTGTTATTAACTGTGATGGAAGTTCAAGCTGGAAGCACATTCCTCTGTGTTTTCTCTAATGTGCAGAGGACATTTACATGTTAATAAACAGTTTTTTTTTAAACAAAACTCAATGGTAGAAAATGTGTGATGTGTTGTAACTTTCTACCCACCAAGTTCATTTGACTGCTACACTCCTTTCCTTGTGTAATAATGATGAATAACCAGGAGCAAAGGCGGCTGTGATCACTGTGGATGTAGGAGGGAGGGGGGGTGGAGAAGCTGCCCTTCTGCTTTCCTCTGTTGTGCTCATGACAAAGCCTAGGGGAAGATACGAGGTGAGTCTGGCCACATCTCATCTCTGCAAAGCCATCCCTGTCTCTTCCCTGAGGTTACACTGATGCAGAGCTCCTTAGTCCTCAGCACCTCAGTCCTTCTGGGAGTCCACTCACTTTCTCCCTCAGGATGCCTTCCCAGTAGGATGCTGACCCTCTGGAAATGACAGCCAGATTCAGGCACTGTAATCACTGCTAATACCGGTCAAGTTTGGACATGTCCCAAAACAGCAATCTTTAAAATGATATTTATTTTGGGGAAATTTAACACATGGATATTACGTTTGACTCAAATATCCACATTCCTTCACCTATTACTTCTTACCCTTGCAAACACTTTACGCTCACAACTCGGTGGGCTTTTTCTTTGTTATTTATTTATTTATTATTATTAGTGTTTCCTCAGTGTTTAGGGGTGTAGGAGAGTTGACTGGAACCTGGAAGGTAACTGGATTGACTGTCTTCCTCAACAGCCATCAATTGCCAGTAGGTCCTTGATACAGGTGAGACAGTGAGGGTCTTATGCACCCATGTTTGTTGTATGGTGTGATTCAGCTTACATAAGTGTTATCCACGTAGTCATAGCCACAGGGTGCTCATGCATTAATTGGTATTAACATTTCTAGCAATGTTTCACTGTTCTAGAAATGTCTCAACATTTCTACTGCTGCAGGGCACACATCTACTGTACCTGGCTCTGACATTCTTTCCAACTCTTCTCCATGACTTTTGGCTTTAGATGTGTGCAAGGGAACTCACTTACGATGTGTGATGCAGGTGTCATCTTTGGATTAGGGCCCTCCACAGAGGAATAGTCTTCACACTTTGATCATTTTGCATCTGTGTAGCCTTCTCCATCTACCACACAATTAATACATTCTGGTGAAGGATGAGAGGTGACTGACTGTGGGTATAAAGTTGAGAATTTGGGTTCATTTAGTTCCAATCCACTTATTAAAACACCAATATTAAATTCTCCTTCGGGCTTATCACTGATCCAAGCACAAGTATATCACAAATTTAACATCCCATCAGTTACCTACTGTGCAAAGGGCTCTGAATCCAATCAGAAAATGATTGGTCACTCCACACCTTTCCTACATTATTGCTCTATGGGCACTAATTTTGGGTAAACAATGGACAAAGCTATGGCATGGTAAAAGTTTCACTAATCTTTTATAGTTACAGAAGAGAGAGACTCATTAATAAAGACAAGTTTCAAACACACTGATTAAACAAACTGTTGGGGGTTACAGCAATGAGAAGTCTCTACTGTTCTCTGATGACATTAATAGCATTTGTGCTGTTGTAAGTCACATGTTGATATTGACATCCAAAATAACTACATTACTATTCTCCATTAGGTATTTATTTCAGGTGAATAATATCTGATTTCTTGGCAAAGATTTTGTGATGCTTCACACACTCATGTGTAATTGGAGACTGTTCTTATGTTTCCTGGCTGTCCAGACCTGATTAATCACATAGAAACGACATTAATTACAACACTGTTTGGCTAATTAGCTCAGGCTTCTTATTAAGTAACTGTTACATCTTAAATTAACCCATTTCTATTCATCTGTAGATTGCCATGAGGCTGTGGCTTAGCAGTAGGTTCTGGCATCTGTCTCCTTCGGCAGCTACATGACATCTCTCTGGAACTTCCTATATCTATAACTGTTTGGATTACTTGCATGGTTTTACTCTGCTAAGCCATTGGTTGACACAGCTTCTTTATTAACCAATGGTATTAAACATATTCACAGCATACAGAGGGGAATCATACATCATTCATGATGTTTGCAGTCAGAATGAATCATCTGATTCATTTGAAGGTTTGAAGAAGTAAACTTTTAAAGACATTTGTTGGATTTCTCTCTTGCATTAACTATATCATGTGTTGAATAAGTATATTAAGATTCATAAAGTTTTTGCCACATTCCCCACAACTTTAGGAATTCTTTTCAGAATGAATTTTTGCTTTTTTATGTCGTCTAAAGGATGAAGAAGAGGAAAAGCACCTGCCACAGTCTTCACACTTGTAGGGTTTCTCTCCAGTATGAACTCTCTCGTGTGTCCTAAAAGACGAGTAACAATTAAAAGCTTTGTGACATACTTCACACTTGAAGGGTTTCTCTCCAGTATGAACTCTCTTGTGTGTCTTAAGGGATGAGTGATAATGAAAGGCTTTGTGACATTCTTCACACTTGTAGGGTTTCTCTCCAGTGTGAACTCTCATGTGTCTACTAAAGGATGAGTGACAACGAAAGGCTTTGTGACATTCTTCACACTTGTACGGTTTCTCTCCAGTATGAAGTCTTTTGTGTCTCCTAAGGGATGAAGGACAACGAAAAGGTTTGTGACATTCTTCACACTTGTAGGGTTTCTCTCCAGTGTGAACTCTCTTGTGTCTACTAAGGGATGAGGGACAACGAAAGCCTTTGTGACATTCTTCACACTTGAAGGGTTTCTCTCCAGTGTGAACTGTTTGATGACCCTGAAGATCCCTAGAACAGGAAGACCATTTGCCACAATGCACACTAGTATAAGGACTCTTTGCTGAATGGATTATTTGATGTTGTTTAAGGGATAAAGAAGAGCTAAACCTTCTACCACAGTCCTCACACTTGTAAGGATTGTCTTCACGGTGAATTGTTTGATGTCGCCGAAGGGATGAAGATAAGTGGAAACATCTGCCACACTCGTCACACTTGTATGCTTTCTCTCCAGTATGAATTGTCTGATGATCTTGAAGGTATGTTAAATAGGAGAATGTTTTGCCACACTCTGCACACTTAAAGGGACTGTCTTCAGAATGAATTGCTTTATGTCGCCGAAGGGATAAGGAGAAGTAAAAACATTTGCCACACTCTTCACACTTGTATGATTTCTTTCCAGAATGAATTGTCTGATGTTCTTGAAGGAATTTAAAACTAGAAAGAGTTTTGCCACACTCTGCACACTTGTAGGGATTATCTTCAGAATGAATTGCTTTATGTCGCCGAAGGGATGATGGGAAGTAAAAACATTTGCCACACTTCTCACACTTGTATGATTTCTTTCCAGAATGAACTGTCTGATGTTCTTGAAGGAATGTAAAGCGGGAAAGAGTTTTGCTACTCTTTGCACATTTATAGGGACTGTCTTCAGAATGAACTGCTTGATGTCGCCGAAAGGATGAAGGGAAGGAAAAACATTTGCCACACTCTTCACACTTGTATGCTTTCTTTCCCGTATGTCTTGCTTGATGCTGTCTAAGGAATAAAAATGAGAAAAAGCACCTGCCACATTCTTTGCACTTGTATGGGCTCTCTTTAACATGAATTATTTTATGTTGCTTCAGCATTGAAAGATAGTAAAATGATCTGCCGCAGTCTCCACACTTGTAGGTTTTTTCATCAGTATGATCTTTCTGGTGTATAAAAAGTGATGAGCGAGTATTGAAGGCCTTGTGACAGTCTTTACACGTGTAGGGTTTTTCTCCAGTGTGAAGTCTCTGGTGAATGAAAAGTGCTTTAGAAGAACTAAGGCCCTTACCACATTTTTCACACTTGTAGGGTTTCTCCTTTGTACAAATTCTATGACATTGAATCTGTAGTGAGTTACAATCAATGTCCTTGTAACTGCTGTGATTTTTGGATTTTGTTCCTGTTCAGCAAAGATTGAGATACGAACAAAGGTTAGGAAATATTCTTCATACTTATGATACTTATCTTTTTAAAAGAAAAAATTTATTCATATATATTGAAGCATCAGTGAAAAAAATACAGTCATTTCAAAACCTATAGAATAGAATGATAAATAAGAATAAATGGTAAAATATTGTAAGTAGAAATGATTGATACTTCTACTTAAATAAGGAAATATCCAAATAGAACATAGACATGATGACATATAATTCAAAGTTAATTAGCTAAGTAAGTTGCAAGGACATTTTACTAACAGAAATAAACCCATTAAATGAGTAGAGATTTTATATTGCAGGATTCCCATGAAATAAGAAAGTAGCTGAGTCTGAGAAAGACAAAGTTAATTTTGACTTTGTGAATTTGAGACAGAATCTAATATAAATGTTTTATCCTTCACATATAGTTTTACTTTGGGAGTACAAAGGATGGGCTGTACAAGTAGACAGTCTACAAAAAGATGAAATTTATAGTTCAAATTCAGGACACTATTTTACGTTTTATTTGAATGACATGAAAATATATACCTGAAACATTGTGTCATGACAAAACAAAACAAAAAAAGAAGAAAATACTTCAGGTTCTCCTGTCTATCATGTAAATTTTGATTAGAGAATATATTTGTCAATAAAGAGATGACAGAATTACTTATTTCCTTTTTTTGTTTGTTTGCTTTGAAGACAAGGTTTTTTTTTTTTTTTTTTTTTTTTTTTTTTTTTTTGTAGATCTTGTTTTCTGAGAATTCACGTTCAAGACAAGGCTAGCCTCAAACATAATATAGGATGGAGCAAAAACTTTCTACCCTCCATTATCCAGTCCTCTGTACCTGTCATCAGAGTGAAGCCTCAAGTAAGAAACTGAAAGAAATTCAGTTTTAACTTTTTTTTTTCTTAAAATGGAATATTAAAACTATATGTACTCAAAGTAACTGGTTATGGGGCCAGGAGTGGTGACACACACCTTTAATCCCAGCACTCAGCAGGAGAGGCAGAAAGATCTTTTTGAGTTTGGTGCCAGCCTGGTCTACAAAGCCAGCTCCAGGACTGCTGGGGCTACAGAGAAACTCTGTCTTGAAAAGCAAAATAAAAAAAAATCAAAACAAAACAAAAACATAGAAATCTGGTTATTGAAATTGGATTCTTCAGTGCTTGAGGAGAAAGTAAAGCTAAACTCCACCGGCACGGCAGGACACACCCAGGGTAGATGAGGACACTAGGATGGGACACAGACTTAATGGATTAATGGTGTTCCAGCTTCAACAGATGATAAGGATACATAGAGAATAGGAGTGTTCATTGTTTGCTGCTCCTTTCTCCCTCAAGTCTGTAATCCAGATCAGTAAATCCCATTCCTTATCTGCTGGAAAGATGGGGATGGGGATGGATTCTCTCACACTGAGGAGGATCTTAGGTTCTAAACCGCATTCTAAGAATTGTCAAGAAATGGAGACACTCTTTGCAATTTCTTTGTACTCCATGCCTCCCAATCTGATAGTTGAGGATACCAAGGGGAACCTTATATCTATTCCTACCACCCCCTGGTATGGGAATTCCATGCTAGGTCAAATGGCCATGCCCTGTCCTCTGGCTTTGCAATTCTTCCTCTTAACAAAGCTTGCCCCAGAGTTGCGATGTCAGTACATGATTCTGTAAGGAGTCCTCAGCAAAGTGGTAGACATATATGACAAAGAATCTGTCACAGGGTCAGTCAGCACAGCAGGCTGAACTCTGGCCACTCAGTTAAACGAAGTTGTATCTGCCACCCGTGGACCCACCACATCAGGTGATACAACACAGCCTGAGGAGAGGTGAGGTGGACTGTGAAAGCTCACCCAGGGCAGCCATCCTGAGTCACCTGCCAGAGCATCTGGACCAGCTCCTCTGCTGTGCAATATCTTTCTTACTCTCATTGTTAATAAAAGCTGATTGACTGATGGTTAGACAAGATTTTCTGGGCAGAAGAAGGGAGAGTGAGAGGAGTCACCAGCTGTCAGAGCCCAGCTTGGACAAGTATACTACTTACTAGGGTAGGGGCACAGGAATTAGAAAATAAGTGAAGGGAATGAAGATATGAGTGAAAATAATAAAACAGAAACAGGATCATACTGGGAAGGAGTTCCAGTGAATACTGAAATCACCCTGCACTTAATCTTCCATACACTTTTATTCCCCAATACCACAGGGGGAAGAAGACAAAAGACTGCTTTAACATGATACACAGGGCCAAAAGAATAGTCATTTATTTCATTACTTTGAGACATCAAGACTTTAGCATTCTTTTGTTTAGGCAGAAAAATCACCCAAGACCAAGAATCCTGAAGGCAGTTACTCACAGGTCAAATCTCTTATTTCAAAAAAAGAATGCTTCAATATCCTGAACATTGATCAGGTTGGAGTATGTCTACCTATATGGACCACCTTAATATCAAAAACACCGAGTAACCACACCCTAGGTCAGGAAGTTTAGCCACACTTTTCTCAACAACTTTGAACAAGTTAAAACTCTCTGACCTTCAGACAAGGTAGAAACAGGCTCCCATTTTTGGGGCCTCCACAGCTAGCAGACACACAGAGAGAAAAAAGATGAACATACTGTGTTGAAAGAAGAAACTGCCGTGTGACAGAGGGAAGATGAGAAATATGGGTTCATTTAAAAGAAACACCTACCTCAAAATGAATCTAAGCTATTGGCTGAGCATTCACAATTAACGAAAAGTCTTCATTTTGCTTACTTGGGAAAGGCTGTTGGGACAGAAAATTCTACCTACAAATGCATTCAAACTTGGTGCACCATGACCGCAAAAGACACGAGGAAGCCCAAAAGTTTCTCAATTAACAAAAGTGGAGTCAAATGCATCTTCCTTGTCTTGTGTCTCTCTCATGTGGGCTGCAGTACAGAGAGAGACACATCTCCTGGTGGCTGACTACAGAGGTGAGCCACCAGCTTGGGCTCCACCACTGCAGTGGGTGGCAGGTTTGGGGTTTTGCTCATGTGAGCAGAAAAGGGTACAGATCCCCAGGAAAGACAGATCCAGATGGTTAAAAAAAATGTAAAAGGGTACAGTATGTTTAAAAATGTATAAAGCCTTATGAGAGAAAAGAAAATTGGTATAGACAGTCAGAAAAATATATACATACTTATAAAGTATAATGTAAAAGTTCTTAAAAAGGGAATAAGGTAATATGAAAGAAAAAAGGCACATATAGAAGGGATACACACAGTGTGTCTGGATTCTATATGTTATTTGTTGTCTGTAGATTTTCTTTTTTTTTTTTTTTTTTTTTTNTTTGGTTTTTCGAGACAGGGTTTCTCTGTGGCTTTGGAGCCTGTCCTGGAACTAGCTCTGTAGACCAGGCTGGTCTCGAACTCATAGAGATCCGCCTGCCTCAGCCTCCCGAGTGCTGGGATTAAAGGCGTGCGCCACCATCGCCCGGCTCTGTAGATTTTCTGACTGCTACTGAAGGAATGAGAGCTGCTGAGACTTATTGGATTGTAGAAACTGCTGAATGAAACCAACCTATATTTTTTAGCATGTCTTGACTTTAAAAGGAAAAAAGAAGTATGTTACTTTGGGAGATAAATTATGCTTTTATTTACACAGGAAATTAGAGGCTGTTTTTTATTACTTATCCTTTTACTATGTTAAAGTTAAAACCATCTTTTTTAACTAGATAAAAAGGGGGAAATGCTGTGGAATGATCTTTCTGTACACTGTGAAGATGTGTTGCTTTTATTGTTAATAAAAAGCGGATTGGTTTATGGCTAGGTAGGATTTTCAGGGCAGTCCAAATTATGGCATAAGAAAGTCAGATTTAGATGAGTGACAAGGATTCTAAGAAGCAAGAGATAAACATACCGTGTGAACAAAAGATCCTGCTATGCGGCAGAGTGTAAACAAGACATATGGGTGTATCTAAAGTGTAAGACCTCATTCGTACTAAGCCTGAGCTGTTGGTCAAACATTTATAATTAATATTGTCTCTATGTGCTTATTTTGGAATGTCTGGCAGCACAGAGCTGATGGAAAACTGCCTAAACTCATAAGCCCTGATCCCATTAAAAGCCTAGAAGTTAATGAAAATATACACTGAAGACATTAGAGAATCATCAGGAGGCCTCGAGAAGAAGAGATCACAGATCTTTTCACCCAATCGGACTCATGATAACATTAGCCATAATGCTTCCTATACTTCTAGCCACAGTGGATACCCTGACTGCATCTGAAATAAAACATTTTACTAGTACTGATGTATCTGGAAACAAGAGATTGACACATATAAATTTATAATTTCTTTAACAAGTTGTTACTATATATATATATGTGTATATATATGTATATATATATATATATATCCAAATACCACTCCATGTTCATGATAAATAGATTAACTTGAAAAAGAAAACCGGAAAACATATGGAGCCTTACAACTCACTAATAGGCCTAAATCTACTGTCATGAAAGAGAGCACACAAACACCAAATCCATAACTCATTTGATGGGTGTCCTTGAATAAACAGGGTAAGGCCTTACAGGTTATCCTGTCCTACTCTTTCTATGTCTAATGGTCAGGACCTGCTGAAGTAGCTGAGGGTAAAAGTGTTGAAAAAAAACAAACAGCCTTTGTTAAACTAGTGTACTTAGTGGCCTAGTAAATCCCCTTTATACGATATGCAAATGCTTTGACTCTTCCCTAAGATCAGTGGGGAATGCACTGCCCAAAGTGCATCTGGTTTGTCTGAGTTTTATCCAATGCTTCCAACCCCCAAATTCTCCTGACCATCAGAACTGACACCATTGAGCCTCTTTCTCTGCCTGACTCTCTGTGATGGAATTGTGGGTTTGCCTTTATTAACCCACTATGGTTGCTTTTGTGTAGAGATCTTTCTGTCATGAGTCTGCTCTCAACATCTCTAAATAAATGACTCTCGGTCGTAGCAGGACTGAGTTCTATTTCCATGAGTCTTACATTACAATGGAGACTCAACAAAAAGGAAAACCTTGGAGATCACTGTAAACAGAAGCACAGCTTGTTATTGGGGAAATCCAAGGAGACTTAAACCCTCATAAACCTCTGAGACATGTACTCTGACAACAAAGACCTGAATGAGAGACCTAAAGAATGATTCCCATGGTATCATGTTTCAAGGCACATGGGAAAGCCTCACTTTCTATTGGATCTCAGGATCTCAGCTCTGCCCCTGAACCCCTCATTCCTACACACCTGGGTGCACGGTGGCTGCTGCTTGTCTCTCCCCATCTGAAGGCTCTGGTCTTTGCTCCAGAAATGTCACCAGGTGTGGCTTAGGGACAGCAAGACCTGTTCATAGAAAAAGAGAAGAAGTTTATGTGTTCTTTTACTCAGAATTGACATGTCCCTGTCTGTACATGAGTTGTAAGGACAGAGATGAGGTGACAAATGATTGCAGACAATCAGTTCCTTAAGTGTTTTCAGACAGGATCACTACAACACATGAAGGAGCCAGATGATGGTGGCTCACGCCTTTAATTCCAACACTCAAGAGATAGCGGCAGGAAAATCTCTGTGAGTTCAAGGCCAGCCTGGTCTACAAGAGTTATTTCCAGGACAGGCTCCAAAACTGGAGAGAAACTCTGTCTCTAAAAATTAAAAAAAAAATACAAAAGAAAAGAAAAAAAAAACCTAACTTCATAAAGGAATTTACATCAGATTCTGAGTTTCATTTCAATGGAAAAAAACAGTACAACTGAATTGTAAAACACTTCAAGTAAAAAGTGTGCTCCATGTCTCCTGCCACCAAATTTTTAAAAGTCCCACTATATTGAAGAAAACATACATCCAACAGAGTCAAACACATCGGGAAGCAAACAGTAAAATGATTCATTTTTTTAAGTCATTATTTATTTTAACTTTTCCTATACATTGGTGTTTTTCCTCCATGTATGTCTGTGTGAGGCTGATTTGTTAATCTAATTAATCTTTATCAATAAAAAAATCAGGAGTGAGATATCGGCTAAGAAAATGAAAGATCAGAGAAGTGCCTACCTCTTCCATCCTACCATCCAAAAGGGCAGAGATCCCGTCTCAGCCCAGCTTTCCACATCCTGTTCCCCTCTCTACAGTCTTCCATGTCTCTATGGTGGGCTGGTGGCTAGTTCTACCCTCTGACTCCAACCAAGCTTTATTTGTTAGAACACAACACAATCAAAACATCACATAAAATGAGGTTGTCAGACCTTAGGTTTACAAACAATTGTGAGCTGCCATAGGAGTGCCGGTGATGTGGGATTTCCTGCCTGGGCTCACAGGCCAAACAGTGCTGTAATTAACATAGTTTCTTTCTGATTATTCACATCTGGGCAGCAGGAAGGTAAGTGTAGTAGTTTCCTTTTCCTTAAGTTCCTCTAGAAGAGCAGTCAGTGCTCTTAACAACTGAGCCATCGCTTCAGCCCTGAAATGATATGTAATATAACGATGTCCTTAATATTTTTGAAAACGAAGGATATGAAACTGACTGTTGAGATGCTCCCAATAGATACTGTACAGATGGAGTAAGCTACAAGTTGATGGTGAAATAAGAAGTCACTATAGAGGAGATGCTCACCCAGGAATTCAAGGTGGCTGTAATTCTCCAGCATCACATCCCTGTACAGATTCCACTGAGCAGGCTCCAGACATTCCCTCTCTTCTGGAGAGAACTCGATGGCCACATCCCAGAAGGACAACATTTCCTGAAATAAAGATCAGCAAATGATACCACACATGAATTTATTTAAAACCGTAAGAAATTTAAATACCAGGATGCATTATACTTAATAGTTATCCTAACAACTTGAAACTAGCTTGGGCCAATTTGAAAAAGAGAGAAATAATTGAAATTTTTTTCTGCCAAGACTGCCCTGTATCCAAGTCTAGAAGCATTTTCAGAACTAGTGATTCCTATGAGACAGCCCTGCCCGCTATGGTGGTGCCTGCACTGGGCACGCAGTTCTACATGGCACAGGAAAGCCGTCTCGGGGAGTCAGTCAGCAGTGTTCTTCTGTGTGCTGGTATCCAGTTCTTGTCTCAGGTCCCTGTCATTTCTTCCCTCAGTGATGGACTGTTACCTGAAGTTGGAGTCTAAAATAAACCCTTTCTGTTCCAAGCTGTCTTTCATCATGGTCTTTGACCCATGACAGCAATAGAAGCCCTAACACGAGCATCATCATGTGCCTGTGGACACAAGTGTAGATTGTCCAGGATGAAAGAGAGCTATAAATGTTTCTTACATGGGTGAACAATATTCCTCAGGCCTGTCTGAAGTGGTCACATGATCTCACACCGGACTCATTGAAAGACAAGGTAAGCAATCCTATAAGCCCAGTTGGACATGATCCACTTAAGACAGATTAAATGTAAAATGAATGCATCCGCAGAACATGCATGTAATGCCATATGCTATTACACAACATGCACATAGCATTCTTTACAGGGGAAAGTCACAGTGATGGAGAAGGATTTTCTCACACTTGATGTGCGCAATCATGAAAGTGAAGTGTAGTGAAAATACAGAGTCTGGTGCAGCAGCTCTGGCTGTCGTCTGGGATTCAGGATTTCTTTGGAGTTCAGTAGGTCTTCACCTAGCCTTTCCAGACAAACTGACGCCATCCTAAACAAAGGGTCAGGCTATGCTAATGTCGCTCTGCTCCTTCTTTGTAATTTGGGAGGTCGCCTGGGAAAGAGGTGTTGATTCAGTCTGTGCAAAAGAGCAGGCACACAGAGCAGGAAGATAGATAGGAAGACATGACAAAATAGACATAGAAAGTGTGAACATGACACAGTTACCTAGGAAACAGAATGCTAATGAATTGTCCCCTCAGTTTACGTTTTGATATAAAAGCCGTTTGGAGAATAATCACAGGTGATTTTTCCGGATGTGAACTCAGAATTTCCTGAGGGATCCCTGAAAACTCCCTCCGGATAGAGTCATGTGAGTTGTGTCTTTATTCGCACACCTCCCTCTGGTCTGAGAAATAATTTAGTCAGGAGAAAAGTATCTGGTTACAGAAGTCCAAGTGTTGGATTACTGATGTCTTTGGTCACTGGACAAAACAATTGCATCTCCACCATCTCTCTCCTATGATTCTTAATGGTAAACACATATCTATCTTTTATGAGTTTCATTTCATTAATTTAACATGTTGATGAGATCATGTGCTATTTACCTTTGCCTGACATAACTTCCAGTTTCACCAATATTGTCACAACCAGCAAGAGTGCAATCTTTCTGTGAAAAGATATTATTATGATGTCATTTACCCCCCTATCTCCTCACTGCAACTTCTCTCATGTCCCCCAATAATCCGTCTCAGATACTTGGTTTATTTGCCTCTAATTATTATGGTTACACATACAGCACATAAATGTATATGTATGCACATAACTATGTAAATATGAATGATCTACCCTGAAAAGGAATGAATATTTAATGCATATAGTGGGGAATATTCAAAGAAGGCAAAGAGAATTCTTCCTCATAAAGTAAATGCAAACAAACATGCAATCACCAAATGTAAAGTCTTCAACGAAAACATTTTAGGGACAAAGTTTAAGTTACCTGTGGGATGAATCAACAGAAATCAAGCACACATAGTTTGTAAATCAACAAAGTGTTGACTGCAGCGATTTGCCATGGTGCTCACTGTTAGTACATAAAAGGAACCACAGGAAGTATTTATCACATTCATAAAGTATGTTTAAATGTTCTGTCTCAGACTAGGTAGCCTAAGCTGGCCTTGAATTTGCTGTGAAGCAGGGGAGGACCAGAGGGCCCTGCCTCCCCCTCACAAACGCAGAGATGACAGGGATGTGCCTCAGAGGAGACTGACGTTTCTTTTCTATCACAGGTCTGGTTACTAAAATCCCAGGAATACACACGGGTCTGGGAGTTCTCCTCACCTGCTGACCTGACACAAAAGCCTGGCACTGTAACACAGGCCATGAGAGCTTTTCATCTGTTTCTAGGGCTCCTGCTTCTGGACCAGCTCAACAAGCTCAAGGCCAGAAGAAGACATTGACACAACCATTGGGGGCCAAGCAGACATCCTGTCGTTTTTACAGTTAGTTCGCCCTACGTTACAGATGGAGGACCTTTCAAGGCTTTAAGGAAACACAGTCCTCAAGATGAGGCCTAGAGTCAGCTTCTCCAGTTCCTTCTTCCTGCAGAGGGTCCTCTGTGTGTGGGCTGTTTGTATGTTCTCTCCACCCTAGTCACAGCTTTCTATAGCAGCTGGTCCTGGCAGATGTGTCTGCTGTGTTCCAGAATTTCCTACGAGAAATGTTGAGCCTCAGATTTTTCCTTTCCTAATTATTTCACTGGAAGAGAAAAGGAACGCAATGTAAACCTCAAGACTACTAAACTAGGCCGGCTACAACGCACAAAAAAGACCAGAAACGCCGTTTGGTCTAAAGATGCTGAGAAATCCCACAGCATCCACCTGAGAATGGGTCAGATGTGAAGCAGGCTTCCCCACCAAAGCTGCTCAGTGAGCTCCCAGCTCCCCCTCAGGAACAGGCAGTCAGCTGACCATCCTTAGCTTGATCCTGGACCTTGCACGATCGTCTATTCTGTGCTACCAGGCAGCTCCCCTGTCCCAGAAGCCCAAGACGGACTCTGGTAAGAGGCGTCGCCCTAAGAAAACCATCACTCAGGGCATAGTCCCTACCGCCCTCACTCCAGCCCTGACCTGCAACCTCAAGGCATCCTAACCAGTTGAGCACAGCACCTCCAAGGCAGCATCTCCCGCCCTTTCTCCAAGCCAAGGTCCGCCCCCTCCAAGATGGACCTGCACCCCGCACAGAGCCTCAGGCTGCACAGCATCCTGGACCAACCTCCATGTCAGAGAAGCAACAGGAATACACAGCAGGCAGGCAGGACTCTCGCCCAATTCTGGGGAAAGACACAATTTTACAGACCAAAAGCCGGATCGGGATTTCCTGGACTACGTGGTGTCACAGCCGCGGCGACTACATATCCCAGCAGTCTGCGCGAAGGAAATGAGGGGAACACGTTCGGTGATTTCTTGGATACCGCAGTAGATTATGGGAGGAGGCAGCCTAGCTTGCTGGATGTTAGGGTTCAGGATAATTCCCATAAAATACCACTAGAGATATATGCAATCAACAAGAGTGTTGAATTCAGCGTGCATCTGACAAATTGGCTAAGAGGCAACTGTTGTGCCTAAGTCCTGAGACCCCCTAAGAACACCATGGAGCCACACTATTCTGAACGCAAAAGCAAGGTTTCGTTCGCGAGCTAGCAGGGGTCTCCTGTCTCACAGTCTAACACAGCAGACGCAGGGAGGAGGACCCCGTCTAATATTAGTAGGGGTTTTATAGACAAAAACCACAAAGGAGTCCCAAGATTACAGTTTCAAATTACAAAATTTGCTTATCCTATATCACAATTGGCTAAAGGTTAGGGGAAGCTTAGCTGTTATCTTCTGATAGGCTGTCATTGCCTGGGTGGGTTTGTTTTCCCATAGTAATTGATCCCTGGTCACATCCTCAGGACACCTGTTGATCCTTTGTTAACCACATGGGTTGTTTGGAAACTTCTCTGATTGGTCCATTGTTACTCAGTGATAGGGGAGCTTAGGTGGTCAACATCTGTGTAACCACGGGTGGGGATATGGGTAGCAGTCAGGAATTTTTTGTATGTTGGATTTTTTCATTAACTAATACTTCCCCTAGAAGGAGCCTCAAGGCTCCTGGCTTTTCTCGGGGTTTGGAGTGAAGTTTGAAGTCCCAAAGGGTCCCAGCACTAAAATTGATTTTATTTTCTCCAGCCTCCATTTTTCTGGTCTTGCAGAAACGCGGAGAGAACCCTGAAGGCTCCTTTAAAGCAATATTAGGATAATTTTATGGGGGGGAGGTTGGTCTGGGGGTTGATTGGTGGTTTTAAACAGAAAGGTTATGGGTTGGTATAGGACTGGTAGGCACCTCTCATGCTTAGGGATTTTCCAGCCACCGTGGAGAAAGCTGTTTTTAGTTAGCAGAAGCTGCGGGGAGCTTGCTGATTGGTTGCCCCTGAGTTGTAGTCTTTTCAAGAACTGCTTGTTCACTTTCAGTAAAGCCCACACTGAGGAGGCTTTCTGACAGGGCTACTAAGGGCCTTTTATTTTTGTTTGGTTCTCTCACAGGACTTCCATGAAGAGTCAGGATTGTTTTAACCTCCAGATCCAAAGCACAAGATGGGTGATGTGAGTGGAGCCTTTAACAGAAACATTGGGCTTATGGGTCGTTTCTGGTCCAGAGGGAGGAATGTGAGGGTTGTAAACAGTAGAGGGCATTTTGAAGGTAAAGGTCACTATTACTTCATTTAAGTGGAATTTATGGCCACTTGAGGAATCCCAGCTATTTAGCAGGAAGCTAGTCTACAGAACTCAGAACAAGTCATCTCTCACCAGTTTTACACTCTGGGGAGGGGTAAGTCAGAATTGCCAAGCTTATTTTTTAGGAATTTAGAGTGGTTGCCTACCACCAAGTGGAATTTTCCTTAGCCATCACAGAGGATGGAGCGCAAAAGCTGAGTCAGCTCATGGACTAGCAAACAGGGAGTCAAGGTGCTTTTAAAATTCCACATTCACAGCTTGTGGTCGTGGCCCAGGGGATGCGTGAGTGCAGTAAGAACGTTCAAATTCCACAGCATCACATGCATGACATCCGAGATCAATAAAATGTGTAGACCACAAAGAACTGGGCAGACTCAAATCCCCATCCCTATGGCATGAAGCAAAATAGCCCTTGTCTTAGGTTAGCTGCTCCCCTTTCAAACAGGGTTTGCTCTTTGGATCCTGACATGGGAGCATCGTTGGGTTCCAAGGCAGCTTACCTGTCTGTTACCTGCACTGTGACCACATAGGGGCTCTGAGGACACTGAACGTTCCACAAATGGCCTAGCGAAGCAGTTCTCTGTAACAGTGTTCCAAAGCTCCGTGAAGACGTGTTGTATCACAAAGGCCTACAGTACTGAAACCACGTGGGTCCTGCTGTCAGCTTGGGACGGTGCCAGGCCCACGAGCATTTCTCTCTGAGGACTGGTCCTGGGGAAACACTTTCCTAGAAGAGTAGTTTTGAGCGTGGAACTCATTCAAACCAATTTTCAATTTTTTTTTTTCGCAAATGGATTTACACTTCCATAAAACAGAGACTTTCAAGCACGTGGTCTTGGCCCACGGCACCTTTCCTGCTGTCGGCACAGAGACCAGGACTCTCTGATTGGAACTGAGCTTTCTACAGCTACAGCAGATGTCATACTTGTCTAGTCTTAAACCTTAAACCCAGGGCTGGAAAGATGGCTCAGCAATTAAGAGCACAGCCTGCTCTTCCAAAAGTTCCCGAGTTCAGTTCCCAGAAACTACACGGTGGCTCACAACCATCTGTAATGAGATCTGGTGCCCTCTTCTGGCCTGCAGACACACACACAGGCAGAATACTGTATACACAATAAATAAATGAATAAACCTTTAAAGTCATTGTTGCATCAAATGAGAATGTCCCCAGTTGGTGAAAACTGTTTGGCAAGGGTTAGGAAGTGTGACCTTCCTTGTTGCCAGGGATGTCACTTAGGGGTGGGTTTTGAAGATATTCCAAGATCCCATTTTATTTCTAGCTACCTTTCTCTGTCTCCTACTTGTGGATCAATGTGTAAGCTCTCTGCTGTTATTCCAGTACCAGATATAGCTTAGCAGCTGACCTCAAACTTTACTGCAGAGCTGTAATGAAGACTGAATGAGATTCACAAATAAAACAAACATATAGACTAATGCAATGTGAAATAAGAGCCAGGATAAATGCTAATACACCATAAAGATTTGTCACTAGAACTGGTGTAATAAAAAACGATTGGCCAGTAGCTAGGCAGGAAATACAAGCAGGTGATCGAATTAAGGATGATAGGAAGAAGGGTAGAGTCTGAGTGGTCACCAGCCAGATGCAGAGGTAGCAGATGAAGGTGCAAAGCTAATAAAGGTACTGTCACATGGCAGAGCATAAGTAAGTAATGTGGGTTAACTTAACATGTAAGAGCTGGTAAGTAATAAGCCCAAACTGTCAGCCAAGCATTTGCAATTAATATAAACCTCTGAGTGTTTATTTGAGAGCAGCTGCTGGACAAACAAACTTCTGCCAACATATGGCTTCCAAATGTTTGGCACCAACTGCCACATAAAACATGTGAAAATTAAAAAGAGGATTCAAAAGACACAAAAGAACAGTGTTAAGCACAGCTTCTTGATGATGGTCTTTCCGTGGGTGGGCCCTCTTTGGTGGCAGCAAGCAGAGGCATGGCTCCTTGAAGATGCAGCTTCCTAGTTTATGTTGGAGGCAGTTAGCTCTCTTGTGAGTTCTGCTACCCAACACTTACGTGGAGTTTATGAACAGCAGGTGGCAGGCTACTCCGTGATGGCATGAACCCAGAAACTCCTCTGAGTTGGGGCAGTAAATGTGGCTCCCGGCGGTAACTACCATGAAGCTAAGCTCTCACGGGCCAAGGAACTGGTCAGAGCCAGCTACCAAGGCTACTGCTTTGGTCGTAGCTACACCACTTGACAATTTAAACATTCGGGTGTTGAAAAAAGATAGACATAGGCAGTAAAGATGGATTCAGACAAAAAAAAAAAAACTCTAAATGGTTTACAGTGTGTTTAAAAATATACATAGGCTTGGGATTGAAAAGAGACAGTAGGGACAGTCATAAAAATACATATATAGTTTTACAACAATAAAGTCCTAAAAAGGGAGTAAAGTAATATAAAAAAAACACATAAAGATGGAAAATACACAGAGAATCTGGATACTGTATGTTACTGTGTTGTATTTGAATTGTTTGATGGCTGAGGATACAATAGATGCAAAGAAATATTTGATCAAAAATATATAATCCAACCTATATATTTTAAAATTTTTATTGACTTCAAAATTTAACTCCAGCAGGGCACTGGTGGTACACACCTTTAATCCCAGCACTTGGGAGGCAGAGGCGGGTGGATCTCTGTGAGTTCAAGGCCAGCCTGATCTACAAAACTAGTTCCAGGACACAGCTGTAACAGCCATATCTGTTACACCGAGAAACCCCGTCTCAAAAAAGAAAAAAAAAAGAAAAAGATATGTTTCTTTGGGAAAGAGGTTCTGCTTTTATTTCTACAACAAAATGGGAGGCTGTGGAATCATTTCAGGTTAAAGAAAACCAGGTTTGATCAAGGAAGAGGCTCTGAAATCCTGACTGCAGTCATAAAGAAATAAACCTGGAAGATCTACAGGGCATATGATGTACATTTTATCTGCTCAAACACATAACAGGAAATCCTCTTTGGCTGACTTGTGTACAATGCAGTCTATTTAGATGTTACCTTTAAAATTTTATGTATTTTCAGAATAAACAGACTAAATACTAATAAAAATGGATGGTTCAAGTGATTCAGCATTTCAAAATGCCTCTGTTACAGTCTCCTCATAATTCTATATCCAGAGCAGCTTCAAGGTTGCTGGCTGAGATGATATAGCTTCACAGATTACACCAGTCAGGACTTGACTATAATTCTAAATTTTCTCATGTTGCCCAAATATGATTAGTGCCCCCAACCAACAGAAAGTAGGCTAGAGAACTGCATTCACATTCTTCCCCAAAAGAATTAGACATTTGTCTTTGTTTAGGGTGTTGGTTACAAAATGTTATTGTATTGCTCATACTAGAAGAAAAGCTAAAAGTAAATTAAATTTTAAATTTAAATTAAATTCAAATATCTCTTTCTAAAAGAAGGTAGATATAAAAATTATTGGAAAAAGGATAGATTACTGAAACTACTTTAGTCCAAAAAAACTATTAATCTTACATATTGGTATGGATTTTGGCTTACTGATACAAATTTAAAGTTAATTTTGAGCTATAGGTCTAGCATTTATAATAATAAGCCTCTGAAGGATTATTTTAGAAAGGTTGTGAGAGAGAAAACCCTGCTTACAATTATATCCATTTCTATGTATAAGTTATAAAAAAAAGACGTTGCTACACTATTGGTATTAGAGTAGTTCATTTGCTATTATGAGGTATGTATAATAAAAATGGAGGCTCCTAGTGTCATTTTATGTAGAAGGCTTCTCTACAATATGAATTCACTCATGGGCCCTAAGGACTTAAGACTCTGTCACTATTTAATTTGTAGGGTTTCCTATACAAAATATATTTTTTGATGTTAAGGTATGAAGAGTAGAATAAATTGTTTCTCTTATCAATTATGTTAGTTCCATTCACAATTAAATCTCTCATGTTGCGTTTGCAACAATTGTTCAACATGTAGCTACTGTCTTTGTTCTTACAAAGTTCATCTACAGCATGAAATTTTGGGTGTTAAATAAAGGAAACATAAAGTTCTTTGTCATATTCTTTGTATCAATAGGACTCTTCTGTAGTGTGAAAGCTCTGCTGTCCAGTAGAGGCAGAATACATCTAAAGGTATCTGACACAGAGCATTGTGGGAAGAGAGGTATGAAGAGGAGTGAAATGCCTCCTCGTGTCCTTCACTGTCATACATTAACTTGTTGGAGTCATGAAAGGTAGGGCCAAAAACAACTTTGGGGAGCAAAATTTTTATTTCAACCTAAGGGTCTAGTGTTCCTCTTCCAGGGATAGGAAGGGAAATAGAAATCATGCTTCCTAATATGTTTCTTAGCCTCCTGCTCACGCACAATTCTTATGTGACCCATAACACTTCCCCAGGGTGGTGCTGCGTGTCCTGGGTAGACTCTCCTACACCACTTACCTGTAGGGCCCGGGTCTTTCCTTGTTCCTAGGGTTCATCATGAAGACAGTTTCTGGTCAGCCAGCTAAAGCATTCTGTTTGTTCCTGTGCTCCCCCTGCCCTGCCTGGTGATTAGCTGTAGGGCATTGTTTACTCCATCTTTGGTGTAGTAATTTCCCATCTGCCTGGGCTGAAATCCTTGTAGAGCAGCTAGGTATATAAGGATTTCCCCAAGGTTGAATAAACGGCATTCGGCTGATCTCCTTTCGAATGACCCAGGTCTCTCTGTGTGTTCTTTCAATCTCCATGCCCTTGCCCGACTCGTGTACGGTACAGTGGCACACGAACTGTACCGAGGGGGTAACACAAAATCGGGTGTTACACTTACCAGTCAACAAAATGACCCCCAGACATGCCCATAAGGCACTCTGATCCAGAAAAGCACCCAGTGAGATAATGCTGGGCTAGATGAAGTTGACAGCTGAAGCTAAGGAGGGCATTTGTATTTGCAGGGATTCTCACCTATATCAATGCTTAGGTGTTGCTGAAGGTTGAAGTACTGTTCAAGCCTTAGGGACAGTGTTTGTATGTGTAGAGTATCTCTGTAGTATGAAGGATCTGCAGATATTGAGAGTGTGAAGAACACGTAGAGAACTTGCCACACTTATTGCTTTTGTAGACTTTCTCATCAGAATGAAATCTCCAAACATATAGCCATGAAGAATAGCTAAGCCCTGGTCCTTTTCTGCACAAGTAGGGTTTTTCTCAGGTGAGAATTACTGAGGTTGAACCAGGGCTGAAAGATAACTCAAACCTTCACCACATCCCTCACACTATTGCTTTGATGGAAATTCTTGTGCTACTTAAGATATAAAGAAACACTAAAGGCTTGTCACTCCCTTCAGAATTGGGCTTTCTCTCTCCGGAATGAACTTTACTGTTGGTAGGAAGTACTGACTGACTGGTAAAGCACTCAGCATTCTTCCCACGTGCCTGACTTCTCTACTCGATGGATTCGTTTGTCTTGGCTAAGGCTATTTAGCAAGATTTCATCCCACTGCACATACTTGTCAAATTCCTATTAAGAATGCGTCCCTTGATGTCTTTTAAGGGAGGAAGATCGGAAAAAACTCTTGTCACACTTTCCACATTTATAGGGTTTCTCTCCAGTATGAACAATCTGGTGCTGATTGAGGCTATCAAGTCTAGAAAAGATTTTTCCACATTGTTCACATATGTGTGGTTTCTCTCCAGTATGAACTCTCTGGTGTTCAGTAAGGGCTGAGTAATTCGGAAAGGCATAGTGACATTCCCCACACTTATAAATATGAATTTTTTTGTGTTTTTTAAGGTCTAATGTAGAGTAAAACATTTTGCCACATATTTCACATTTGTAAGACTTCTCCCCTGAATGACGCAATTTGTGCCAGGGAAGGTATGAGAGAGTAGAAAATGATTTCCCACACTCTTCACATTTGTATGGTTTCTCTCCAGAGTGAAACCGTTGGTGATCCTGAAGGTGTGCAAAAGAGTAAAACCGTCGGCCACATTCTTCACACTTGTAGGAATTCTCTTCAGAGTGAATTCTTTGATGCCGCTTCAGGAATGCAGAAGAGTAAAAGGCCTTGTCACAGTCTGTACATTTATAGGGCTTCTTCCCCGTGTGAATTCTCTGATGCCGCTTAAGCAACGAAGGATAGTGAAAGGCTTTGCCGCACTCCGTACACTTGTAGGGCTTTTCTGCAGAATGAATTATTTGATGTTTCTTAAGCAACGAAGGACAGTAAAATAATTTCCCACATTCTTCACACTTGTAGGATTTCTCTGCAGAATGAATTCTTTGGTGTACCTTAAGCAATGAAGGGTAGGAAAATACTTTGTCACATTCTTTACACTTGTAGGGTTTCTCTCCAGTATGATTTTTCCGGTGTCTATAACGTGTTGAGTGAGAACTAAAGGCCTTGCCACATTCTTCACACTTGTAAGGTTTTTCTCCAGTGTGAATTCTCTGGTGGACAGAAAGTTTTGTATGGGTATTAAAGGCCTTGCCACATTCTTCACATTTGTAGGGTTTTTCTCCAGTGTGAATTTTCTGGTGGACAGAGAGTCTTGAGCGAACACGAAACGCTTTACCACAGTCTTCACATTTGTAGGGGTTCTCCCCTGCATCAACTGTCTGGTGTCGAATAAGCAGTGAATTACAATAAAAGGCCTTGTTGTAATCTTTACATTTATTGACTGTTTTTCCTGTTGGTCAAAAGTTGAGACATGAACAAAAGCTTTGTACATTCTTTATATTCATAATGTTTATCTTTAAAATGGAGACAATTACCCATACTTACACTCTTATGGATAAATCAGAAATAACACTATATTTTTACATTTATGTTCACTGAGAATAACTCAGAATATATAGTAGGTGGAAAAAAATCTAAACTTCTACTCATGGAAAAGCCTGATCAAATTGAATATAGAAATAATGGCATGCCACGCAGTGGTAGAGCACACCTTTAATTCCACACTGGGGAGGCAGAGACAAGTGGATAGCTATGAGATTAAAGTCAGCCTAGTCCATATAGTGAGATCCAGGACGGCCAGAATTTCACAGAGAAACCCTGTCTCAAAAAACCAGAAAGAAGAGGAAGAGGAAGAAGAAGAGGAGGAGGAGGAGGAGGAGGAGGAGGAGGAAGACAAGGAGGAGGAGAATGGAGCATTATTGAAAGTGAAGTAGTTAATTAAGTAGTAATTATCTATGATAAAGGAATCTCTTAAAGGCATTACACAAAGAGAAATAAATACCTTAAACATAGGTATTTTTTATATGTAGACATACATGACATTATCTATCTACTGGGAAAGGGGGAGATTAATGGTAACTCTCTGAGATTGGAGACTTATAGAAATACCATCTTTATCCTAAGTATGCAGTTAAGAATTTTTTTTTATTTTTTTATTTTTAAGATTTATTTATTATGTATACAACATTTCTTCCATGTTTGCTTGCATGCCAGAAGAGGGCACCAGATCTCATTATAGATGGTTGTGAGCCACCATGTGGTTGCTGGGAATTGAACTCAGGACCTCTAGAAGAGCAGTCAGTGCTCTTAACCTCTGAGCCATCTCTCCAGCAGTTAAGAATTTTTATGCATGAATGGAAGTGTGCATAACAAGTATTTCTACAAAATCTTAAGTAATGCACCTCACAAATTTCAGACAGCAGCAGTTTATGTTCTATTTGAATGACAAACATCTCAACATCAAAATTATGAAAAACATTGGTTCACCTATGAATAACAACTTCTGTCAAAGACAATATTTTGTCAATGAAAAGGTGTTAAAATTATCCAAGTTTCTAAGAATTATTAATTTACAAGATAACTTAGCACTGAAAAGAAACAATGTAATGTTCAATTTGTGAAAACATGAGGCTTGTGTTTACAGATGAAGCGGAAATACACAGTTCTCATGTTCACATAACTAGAGCTCAAAGATACTGTTATCTTACACTGTTCTTTAGTGTTTATAATTGGACAATCCACCCACAAAATTATATAGATTACATATAGACAGTTGACTATAGGTTATCCATTGCCAAGACACAGCACACAATCAAACTGCAAAGTTATGAAAATGGAACCTTGAATTCTCAATAATTTGAAAACTAATTGATTAGCTATTAAAATTTTCTAATTTTAGACAGTTTTTAATCTATGACTATATGTCCGCAAAGAGTATGCATTCTAAATCCTTGGTGAGCATGTGATAAAAATTAGAATACCTTTTAGTCATTCACAAAGAACTCTGATGAGGTGATTTTGATCAGCATGATTATAAGTGATTTGAAATATATTTATGCCTGAAGTTACTGTCCTACAGTGGCTTCACACATAGGTCTTAGAAATGTTCACAAATTTTCAGAGCTTAGAAAATAGTGCAAAGTTATAATGTAAACTAAAAAAAAATGAGCTTTGGAAGTTAAATAAACAAACACAGCTCACCATTGGGGAATTACCAAATTTAAGAGACTTAACCATCATAAACATCTGGAAGAAGTCCTTTGACAACAAAACCAATGAGAGACCTAAAGAATTATCTCCATAATATCATGATTTAAAATGATGGAAAAGCCGGCCTTTCTGTTGACTATTTGAACCTCACCTCTGTTCTTGAACCCCTCATTCCTACACACCTGTATGCACTGTGGCTTCCTCTTGTTTCTTCACACCTGTAGGCCCTTGTCTTTGCTCCAGAAATGTCACCAGGTGTGGCTTAGAGAGAACAAGACCTGTTTGTAGGAAAGGGAACAAGATTAAGTGTCCTTCTACTGGGAATTGACATGTCTCTTCCAGTATAAGACTTATAAGGAAAGAAATGATATAACAAATTACTGTAGACAATCAGTTCCTTAAGTGACTTCTCACAGGGCCACTACAATACATAAAGGAATTTACAATGTCCAGATTTTGAGTCTCATTTAAGGGAAAAATATTAAAACTGAATTGTGAAACATTTTCATTAAGATGTAAGGTACATGCCTATTGCAACTGAAGTTTCTAACATTCCCACTAGTATGAAAGATGTATTCTTCCAACACAAACAGGTTAAACACACAGAAAAGAAAGCAATGTTTCTTAGCTAAACATATTCCCTAATTTTTATTTAAAACCAAGTCTATGGAACTTTTTGTTGGAAAGCACGAGCTCCCATGAGATAAGGTGTAGAGTGAGGACATTGCATACTGACACTGAACTAGGATGTCACTATAGAGGAGATGCTCACCCAGGAAATCCAGGTGGCTGTAATTCTCCAGCATCACATCCCTGTACAGATTCCACTGAGCAGGCTGCAGGTATTCCCTCTCTTCTGGAGAGAAATCAATGGCCACATCCCAGAAGGATAGCATTTCCTGAAATAAAGATCAATGAACGATACCTCACTTTTAATTAATTAAAGTCATTAATAATAGGCATTGTGGGGCTATTTTTCTGTCCATGTGACACAAGCTAGGGTTATTAACTGACAATGTGTATTCCATAAGAATATCCTGTATGTGACCCTATAGGAGGCTGTTCTTAATTATTCACTGGTATATGACAACCTAGATCATTGTGGGTCATGCAACCCATGGTCAGATGGTCTTAGTATAAGAAAACAGGATGACCACGCCATGGAAAGCAAGCCAATAACCACTGTTCTTTCATGGTTCCTGTTCCAGGTCCTCCCTACAGGTTCCTGCCTTGACTTCCCTCAGTGATGGACTGTTACCTGAAGTTGCAAGTTGAAATAAATCCATTCTTCTCAATGGTCACATTCTTTATCATTGTTAAAAAGAAACAAAAGCAAAACACTCTAACCCAGGTATCTTGTACTTGTTTACAGGAACAAGTGTATTCTATATTTTGTCCAGGAAGAAGAGAGTGGTAGACATAAGTGTCATGCTTCTAACATGTTTGTCATATTCCTCAGACACTTCTGATACGATCACATGATTTCACAATGGACCCATCAAGGAACGAGAAGGCAGAAGAATCTAGAAGTTCCACGTGGAAACCCTTAAGACAGATGAAATGTAAAGTGAATGTTTCCATAGAAAAACATGCATTTAGTGCCACATGCTTGTTTTATCTACCACACATATATACATTTCCCACAGGAGAAAGTAATGGTCAGAGAGAAGGAACTTCTCAACCCTTACTATGCACAATCGTGAATATCAAATGCCACGAAAATGTAGTTACTGATGTAGCAGCTCTGGGCTGAGATGCGGATTTCTTAATTTTTAAGAGTTCAATCACGATGCTAATGACAGTGCACTGAGAGGCACGAGATGGAGCACCCAAGGGGCAGAATGAACGGCTGCAGGACCGAGTGGGACAGAAACTTCCATTTACAGTTCTGTGAGCTTCATCCTCCTATGGCATCTTTTGGAAGACCTGGTCATACCAGGCATTGTTGTGCTTCATAGGCTTAAGAGTCAAATAAAACTGGTTCTTCCTTCTCTCCCTTGAAGGCTCACAAAGCAGTTTCCCAGAGTAGTGGACTTTCAGCTCAGATCCAGATCAAATCGAGTCCTGGGTCTGAAGTTCCTGGTGTTTTCAGCAACGGGAGAAAGCATTAGCTACAGTCAAAAGACTTTGGTACAGGAGAAGGATTAGCTACAGTCAAAAAACTTTGGTACAGGAGAAAGCATTAGCTACAGTCAAAAGACTTTGGTACACGCCGGGCGATGGTGGCGCAAGCCTTTAATCCCAGCACTCGGGAGGCAGAGGCAGGCGGATCTCTGTGAGTTCGAGACCAGCTTGGTCTACAAGAGCTAGTTCCAGGACAGGCTCCAAAGCCACAGAGAAACCCTGTCTCAAAAAACCAAAAAAAAAAAAAAAAAAAAAAGACTTTGGTACAGGAGAAAGCATTAGCTACAGTCAAAGACTTTGGTACAGGAGAAGGATTAGCTACAGTCAAAAGACTTTGGTACAGGAGAAAGATACTTTGTAGATAAAAATTATACTGTGAAAAATGTCTTTACTCATAAGGGTGGAGTGAGATAGGGAAGAGGAGGCCAAGATACTCCCAAGTTATAAATAGACTGAAAGAAGCTGATGAATAGAAAACCCTGTCATTTCTCAAGAAAAAAAGCAATTAGACTCTGTTGAAAGCTTCTTTGTAGCGAGTACATTTTCCCACTTTGACAAGGAAATAAAACTACAGATTCCACTCTTCCATACTGATCACTGACAACAGGGAACATGGTCAGCTTGGAGAACTGCAGGAGCTCAGGGCAAAGTGAAGATGGAAAAACTGTTCTTTCAGAGAGGAGGAGGTCCCCAATGGTGAAGTGACTGCAAGGACCCCTCCCTAATGTCGCCCAGCACCTGTTACCACTGTTCTGGATGAACAAGTGTCTGTTATTCTCTGGCCCCTCTCCTCACTGTGGGCTTCCTGGGGCTAGGAGGCTAGGAGGCAGAAGAAAGCCTGCCACGATGGTCTCATTTACTAACATAATGAAAGCAAACATTTCAGGGAAAGTTGAGACTGGCAACGCTCACTTCCTATGGAGAGGGAATACAAATAAATTTTAGCCTGAGGGGGACAAACTGGGGTTCATTAAAAACTGCTGCAAATTCATTGTAGCCCCTGAATCAGGAGGTGGAGTCCAACTGCCCTCCCCTTGAATGGAGG